TTCACTACTGTTAGAATAACTTCTAGTAGGACGAGAGAGTCTATATCATTGCAAAACATTTTATAAAGATCACTTTTCTATAATAATAAAATATTATATCAATAAAAAGACAATCAGCAGCAATAAATAATACATTCATTTATTTATTCATTTTCAACTGCTTTTCCACGGCCGAGTCACGGGGGCAGCAGTCTTAGGAGAAAACCCCAGACCCCAGCTCCTCAGACATAATCCCTTCAGTGTGTCCTGGGTCTTTCCCGAGGCCTCCTCTCAGTGGGACATGCCTGGAACACCTCCCTAGGTAGGCGTCCAGGAGGCATCTGAAACAGATGCTCGAGCCACCTCAGCTGACTTCTCTTGATGTGAAGGAGCAGCGGCTCTACTCGTGAGCTCCTCCCAGGTGACAGAGCTCCTCACCCTATCTATAAAGGTGCGCCCTGCCACCCTGCGAAGAAAACTCATTTCAGCTGCTTGTATCCGAGATCTCGTCCTTTCGGTCATGACCCAAAGCTCATGACCATAGATGAGAGGAGGAACGTAGATTGACCGGTAAATCGAGAACTTTGCCTTTCGGCTCAGCTTCTTCTTTACCACAACGGACTGGTACATTGACCGCATTACTGCTGCCGCTGCACCAATCCGCCAGTCAATCTCACGTTCCATCCTTCCCTCACTCGTGATCAAAAGCCCAAGATACTTGAACTCCTCCACCTGGGGTAAAGACTTTCCTCCAACCTGGAGATAGCAAACCACCTTTTCCCGGTGAAGCACCATGACCTCAGACCTGGAGGTGCTGATTCTCATCCCAGTCATGTTACACTCGGCAGCAAACCGCCCCAGTGCATGCTGTAGGTCACAGTTCGATGAAGCCAACAGAACAACATTGTTGTCCCTGAACCAGCCCCCCTTCTGCCCAAGGCTGTGCTTTGAAATTCTGTTCATAAAAATTATGAACAGAATTGGTGACAAAGGGCAGCCCTGCCATAGTCCAACATGCAATGGAAACAAGTCTGACTTATTGCCTGCAATGCGAACCAGACTCCTACTCCTGTTCATACAGCGATGAGACAGCACTTAACACAGCACCTCTAACCCCATACTCTCTGAGCAGAGCACCCTCCACAGAATGCCATGAGGGACACGGTTGAATGCCTTCTCAAGTCCACAAAACATATGTGGACTGGATGGGCATACTTCTATGAACCCTCGAGCAACCTGGTGAGGGTATAGAGCTTGGCCAGTGTACCCCGTAGCTTGGACGAAAACTGCATTGTTACTTTTAAAACCTAGGTTCAACCATTGGCCGGATCCTCCTCTCCAGTACTGTGGCATAGACTTTGCCAAGGAGGCTGAGGAGTGTGATCCCCCTATAGTTGGAGCACACCCTCCGGTCACCCTTCTTAAAAATGGGAACCACCACCCCAATTGCCCAATAAATGATACAAAAGAAAAAAATCTAAAACAGCTCACTTTTGATTAAAACATTGTACCAGTTATGAAGGATTCACATTTACAATAATGTTCCTTTAAAGTCTCTCTAGATAAAAAATCATTGATTGATAAGTGACCTCAAAATTTAGGAAATTGTTGTCATTGGATGTCTTACGTTTTTGTTTTAGACCTTTCGAGAGCCTGTATCAGACTATCAGGTGGTGAGAGAAAAGGCAGCGTCTCAGAGAAGAGATGTTGAACGAGCTCTCACACGCTTCATGGCCAAGACCGGAGAGACGCAGAGCCTATTTAAGGATGACATCAGTGCTTTCCCTTGTGAGTTTAATCATAGAATTTGAGTGTACTGCACTATTGCCTGTTTATTGAATGTGTATTCATATTGAATTTGTATGTGTGTAATCAGTGATCGCTGCAAAACCAAGCCCCATCCCATATCTGAGTGCCCTGCTGCCCTCTGAACTGGAGCTACAGTCACTGGAGGAAACGGATTCGTCTGAGCAGGATGACCAGATGGACAATGATAACAACACCAGTCACATCATGCAGGCAAGATTTAAACAATCTTTCCTTGTCAACATTTTCCATGTTTGTGAATGTAACTAAAATACAGTCAAAACATTAATATCGTGATTCATTTATCGCGATTTATTTATTTAATTATAGTTATTAATTATTGTAAGAGGTGTTTTTTTGTGTTAATATATTGGAAAATATAAATTTTTCATGCAATGGCAAAGCTAAACTTTCAAGAGCCCCTACATAATCATTCAGAAATCATGCTAATGTGCTCGGTTTTTGAAAATTATTCATGTTTCACAAATAAAATAAACAATTTACACTAAATAAAATGATTTTCTTGCTTAGATTTAGATTTCTTGATTAGATATTTTTGTCTAAATATCTACAAATTCCTAAATCAAGAAGCATTTTCTAGACAAGCAAAACATATAGTCTTGTTTCCAGAAATAATAGGCCAAAATTAAGTGTTTTTCCTTAAAACAAGCAAAATAATCCTGTTTTTCATTTTTACGTAAGATTATTTTATTTAATTTTAGGATAAATAAGAAAATAAGAGTACGCATAAATAAGAAAAGCGTTTTTTGCAGTGTATGATTTTAATATTTCTGTGGAAACTTATATTTTTAAATATATTTGAGGAGTGAATGGCTAAAATACCATTTTAGGTTTTGTTTGTAATATTAATATTTACTTGAATCAATTTTATGATTTCTATTTATTTATTTACATTATTTACCTAATTTCTGAAGGATCACGTGACACTGACAACTGCTACAAAATATTAGGTGCATTCAACTTGAACCATAGCTGCAGCTGGCAATCAACAAGATTGGGAGGCTGTCAGGTCAGACACCTCGGGGCTGGTATTTAGCTGCATGATGACAAATCAAATCACATGGCGAGATCAATGATTTATTTATATATTAATCCAATCACATTAATCCCAAAAGATTGGACAAAAGAAGTGAAATGCACTTTCAGTGGAAATTTGACAGAAAAAGCAAGATATATCAATGTTACTTTTAAATGTCTTGACAGGATATTATTATTATATTATTTTGTATTATTTTAGAACTATATTATAGAATAATTATTTATCCCAATTTGTTAAGAAAAACGTTATGTTGGAGGCACAATCAATGATGACTATTATATTACAAGTCTGTAAAACTTATTTGAGTTAATATTTGGTTATTTACTAAAAAACATAATTTAAATCGGAGATGAAGCTGTATACAGTAAAAGGTCTGTATGAAAATCGTCAAAAATAAACTTATGCAACGAATCTAGCTTTTATAAACAAATTATTTAACAAAAAAGATGATTAGGCCTACTGCAGTAAAATATTTGAAGTCTTTTAATAAGCATGATATGTACAAAATGAATATAGCATAAAAAGTTAATTGTTTGTTTGGAAGTTTGTGAGACGGAAGTTGTCCAATAACAAACCTGAAACACATGTGGTTGTTGTCATGCGAGGAATCCAACCAATTGTATAACATCGGTGTCGTCATCGCAGTTCCTGCAGTCGCTCTTTAGATGCTGCACTGGCTGAATCAGTCGTCTGATCTCAGAGAGCTGTCACGGTACTTTGAAGCCACATGTGGTAGTTACGTGGCGTTGGTGCAGCTTCAAGCCGAACAAAATGTATAATCGGCATGCACCCCTTTAAGACAGGTTTTGGTCAATCTCCACAGCACTGCATGAAGTTGAACGCACCTATTCTCTAAATTCAGGAATAAATTGAAATGGTCATTTGATTTTTTATACGTCATAATATTATTGTTTGTACTCAATTTCTTGTCAATCAAAAGCACTCTTAGTGAGCATAAGTGACTTCTTTAGTATAAACTAATTTTTATTATGTGTTAGTTATTGATTAGTTATTATTATTAACTAATGTGTATTCTTTATGTGTATTTTTCTATTTTTTGTTGTGGAAATGTATGAGATTGTGTGATCCGGAAGTGAATAAACAGAGCAACATGCTGTGATGAATACTGTCTGATGAAGAGCCGGTGTGCTGAAACGTTACACGCTTTGTGTTAGCCTTTTTAATTTAACAAATTGGTGTTTTTTGGAGCTTTGGTTTTGCCGCCTCTTAAATATATTCTTCTTTAGCATTAAAAATATATAGGAATATAACAGGAAAGTTAATTGCTATAATTTGTCAGTGAATATAAAATAAATCAAGATATATATATATATTTTTTTTTCATGAAAAAACATTGATAGTAAAATCAGGTAATAGTCTGTGTTTGTATGTCTATATACTGTACAAATTCATAATTTAACATATTTCATTTCAATTTGTAGGACGACTCCGGTGCAGATAAGGAGAATGAAGTGCTGCCACCTGGTGGTGTTGTGCCTTCAGGCAAGGCCAATGAGGAAAACATGATTGACAACCCATATCTACGACCAGTCAAAAAGCCCAAAGTGAGAAGGAAAAAATGAATTTTGCTCTACTGACTTGGCCACATCTACATCAGTTGTTTCTGAATAAGACTTCTCAGCACTTGCTTTTCACATTGTGCTCCTTGAAGTTAGTACCATATGACAAACTAGAGTCTTCAACGACTGCAATTCAAAAACACGCAGCGATCTATCAGGTTACTGACATCTGATTCTTATTTAATGAAAAACTGTTCTGTACACGTCAATAATATTAGATGGATTTCACATCACTTACGGTTGATGTTTTTTTTTTTTTTTTTGATAAGAATTCCCTTGAAATACCTTGAAGTTTTCAACCCATCTGAAATGTGACGTTTCTTTGGATTTGTGTTTGTTATTCATTTGTGAATGGGGTAATAAATGTCTTTCATTGTTTATTTTTAGCCATTGTTTCAAAAGGACATGTTAAAAAATTAAAAATCAGAATATAGATATATGTGTCCTGTTACTTTGATAATTACTAAAAATATTAATTGATTACACGTTATGTACCTGAAACATCTAATATGTTAAAATATGCTTTCAAAATAGTTCATGGTCATATTCTAAAATGGAAACACAAATCAAGTGGGTAAAACTTGTCTTTTAAAGCTTTAATGTTTGTACACACTTAATTCTTCTAGTAGTATTTTAGTATCATCAGTAAAACAAGTGTAGATATGCCACCCTGTTCCTCTGTTTCCTAAACTCTTTGTCATGGAAAAGCTGCATGAACACAAAATTTATAAAGATCAATATGAAAGGAATTCATACCCACTAACCTTAGTGGTTGCATTTATCATTAAAAAACAAAAGTCGACCCTATCTGTACCTCTGTCCGCAGTGCTCTTCTCTCCAGCATCGGCACTTTTGTCCAGTCTGGAGAGCCGAATTTCATAGGCCATGACACCTTCTTGCTTTGGATAGCATCATGAGCGTATGCCCCTGGACTAAACAAAAAAAAAAAGGCAAATACAGGAGTTTACAAAGATTATAGTGTTGTCTATTAGTAACTGCAACAAGATGTCATCTAGCAGAACTACAGTGAATGCGGTGGATTTGTGTTTGGATATGTACTGGTAGGAGAATGTTGTGCTTTTTATTTTGAAAAGACTTAAATCCCTTTTGGGAGTGTAGCTAGAGAAGAGGAATTTTGTTTTTGGTTGCACAAACACATTTATCAACACAAGTTTTAAATTGCAAAATCAATCTGGATGTCAGCTACTTCTGAAAGTGGTCAAAAGTGAACAAGCTCAAAACATGTAGACCTGCATTTAACGTCAAAAATAAAGTCAACACCATGCGAAAACAGGAGCTTGAGCGTTCAAGAATGTAAAAGTCATTCTGAAATTCACAAAGTTTCAATTCAAAGGGCGGCATGGTTGCCTCACAGCAACAAGGTCACTGGTTTGAGTCCTGGTTGGATCACTGGGTCTTTCTGTGGTGAGTTTGCATGTTCTCCTTGTGTCAAAAAAAGAAAAGGTATAAATGTATTTAGCTATCTGTATAGATAGATTATATTAAATATTAACATACCCCATTGTTAATATTTGTGCCTAATCACTTCTCCCAAAGTACTGGAAAACTCATGATTTTTTTATTATTAAGGAGAATGCTGAGTTGAGGAGCGTTAATAGATTCAGAATTACTGAGAATAAAGACACTTTTGATAGTCAAATATAATTTTACCCAGGGCTGATTTCTGCATCTTTAGGTCTGAATCTTAAAGTGGTACTATTGAAGGGAGCTTTTCCAGGAGGACACACTTTAGGTAGAGTCCAGTCCAGCTGGTATTTCTGTGGTGAAGGGGTGACTGCCTTTAAAAAAACAAACAACAAAGCAACAGATTTTTAATTGTTCAATTAAAAACAAAAGAAATGGTTGTGTCTATACATGTATATACAATACATACCATGGTCAACTGGTCTATAAAGGCAAAAATCAGATTGTGAAGTGTATTTTTATTTTAAGGAATATTTATATTATTTCAATAAAAACAGCATAGAGGGGTGCATATGTATGCAGATCAAAACAAGTTTTTCAACACGACACAACATTGGAGCCTTTAATTATTAAAAACCTTTGTGATTTAAATTATATATATAAAAAATATTTTACGAGAGTATAATGAATGTTGGTTTGTATTTTTATGTTTATTAACTCAATAATGCAGTTTGGCAACACTGCTGAAAAAAGTAATAGAAACATCACAGAACTTTTAATGGTTTTCACTACAAATATCAAATGAAAAACAAAAACATGAAGCGTTAACAAAAGAATTTCACCTACAAATCAGAGAAGGGCACAGATATAACATTTCCAAGCAAAATATGATTGCCTTCTATTAAAATGCTATCAATATTCGACATGATTCTGCTTTTATTTATTCATTCATTCATTTTCCTTCAGCTTAGTCCCTTTATTTATCAGGGGTTGCTACAGTGGAATGAACCGCCAACTCATCCAGCATATGTTTTACACTGCGTATGCCCTTCCAGCTGCAACCCAGTACTGGAAACATCCATTCACACTTATTCACACACATTCACTACGGCCGGTTTAGTTTTATTCAGTTTACCTGTAACTATAGCTTATGTCTTTGGACTGTAGGGGAAACCGGAGCACCCAGAGGAAACCCACACGAACACCGGGAGAACATGCAAACTCCACACAGAAATGCCAACTGACCCAGCCGGGACTCGAACCTTGCTGTGAGGCGACAGTGCTAACCACTGTGCCACCATGTCGTCACTATTTCTGCTATTATAAATGATTCAAATCTTAATTCAAGTGATGAAAACTCTATAAACCTAGGTGTGTGCATGGTTTCCCCTCAATGTCTTACTGCCAATTATCCATTGCAAATTCTATTAAAAGTTTTTATATTTTATTGTGTTAGCTGACCGTCTTGTAGTGTAAATATATGCTTTTATGGTGACAAAAATAATGTAGTGTAAAAAAGCCATATGTTTAATTGTGGCAAAAGTTATAAACGATACCTTTAAAGCCGGCAGGAATCGTGATGCAGTGCGGGCTGCAAACACATATCCCCTCTTACTCTCAGGTTTGTGTTGGAGTTCATACAGAAGTGTGCCAACCTGCGAAGTTAAAATTACACGCTCATTAACATTATTACTGATACTAATTATTTTAGTTTTTTTTTCTTTTGGCCTCATGTTTTTTTAAAAATGATTATCCATTAATTCTCACCGTGTGGTTGTCGTAACATCCGGGTCCTCCTTCAGCTGAACCAAACTGTGAGAGCATTTCATTTCCCATTCGGTCAGGCGCAAAGTGCGTCGGAAACATGAGACGGTTCTGGCAGCTGCCGAAAGCGACTCTTGAAACTTGAGTTGAGAAGAATTAATGAAGAAAATCATATTTAATGGAAGATTGTGTGTTTTTTGCTAGTAACGTAATGGTGAAATAAATTACCTGAGCCCCGTGTCGCCATAGCTTCCGGATGTTTACTGGTAAACATGGCAACCAGGTGTAAATGAATGCTGATGATTTTTAGTATATAGTTTTTTTGTGAAAAACCATGGAAAATAATTAAACGATGATGCTTCATATGGGGGCTTCACAAGAGCTTCACAAGAGCTTATAAAATGTAACAATGCTATTTAGTATTTGTTATATTTATTTATTTAGTATTTAGCCTATATATATATATATATATATATATATATATATATATATATATATATATATATATATATATATATATATATATATATATATATATATATTGTACCACACATTAATTACAAATCAGCTGATCTAACGTTAGACAGGCAAAAATCGGTTTGGCGGTTTTAGACTTAACTAACGTTACGTTAAGCATTTGAGTGTGTTTTCTCTTTTTAGAAATATTTAGCTTTTATTAGGCTACTTAAAAAACAAAGTGGCGCGGAAGAGTGCATAAAGTTCAAGAGGGTTTCTATAATGTTTGTAAAAAGAATTACAAACAAATCATGAATTGAAATTCAAATGTTCTGGTTAATAAAAGCAAATAATTAGAAAAAAGTTTAATATTACATTTTTTGAGCTTTTTTATGGTATTAAACAGTAATTATCTAAAGCAGTGATTCTCAAATTATTTTCAAGTACTACCTTCAAAATTGTCTCTCCAAGTACCACCATAATGACCAGTATTGAAATACAGTAGCGTAGTAGGCCCAGTGAAGCAGTTACAGCTCTGCACAGTTCAAAAACAAGGCAGATTAATTCCTATTATTAAGAATATTATTGTCAGCCACTTTAAACATTATAAATAGTTTTAACATTAACACTGTACTGTGCTTACAGACAAAAACAAACAAACAAACAAAGAAACAACAAAATAAAATGTCAACATTTACATTGAAATGTGCTTTTAAACTACTGTTCTTAAAAAAACTCCAGTGCTTAAATGTAATATGTATGTTGCACCTTATATATAGGCTATATGTCATCATATTCATAATTATTTTGCTAAATTTTGAAATATATGTTACATGTACACATATGACATATTTGATTCCTCCGCATACCACTAAGAGAGTCCATGTACCACTAGTGGTACCACAGTTTGAACCACTGATCTACAGTATCAAAATCAAAACATTAAGATAAATAATTAGATGTGGTCAAAACTAAAGAGAGAAGTAAAAGAAAAACATCCAAGATTTCCGGGGTCATAAAACAGATTTATCATAGTTGATAATAGTATCATGAGTTTCAACTACACTATTATGTTCATTTCTTATCTTGATTTATATCATTTTCAATTGGTTTATATGTATTGCATTATCCTTGAAGCTTGATTAAAAGTGACACCTAGCATGTTAAGGATGAGCTGGAGTGAATTAACAGCTCTCTCTTCCACCCTATTGTGTGTGTGCACGTGCGTAACCACTGGCTACTTGAGAGTACTCACTTCACCTCACGTACTGTAACTGTTAACTGTAAACTTTATTGTCCCCTTCTGGAGTAATTTGTTGTGTAGCTTAATAGATTTACACAATTCACAACACACACATAAAAAAACAACTCACAGCATCAGAAGTACAAACAGCGGCAACTTCTTCCCCTTAAAATTCAGCAAATCATTGCAACAAATTCAAAAAATTTTTTTCAATGGGACCCATACCGAGATCCTGAAATAAGGCTTTGAAATGAATTAAAAAGAGGGTGCACACTGAAACCTGAGACAAATATTCAAATTAAAGATTGGGTTTAACCTGAAGACCGAACTCTTGTTACAGCAGTTCATTCAGTCATCTGAGTGCACTGCTAAAGAAAACACATAAGCAGCATTATTGTTTTTTCAGAATCTTGCCTGTTTTGAAATGTCAAAAAAGCTATAAACTGAATTTCCTCATTGCTCATCCAAAGTAAACAAGACTTTCCTTTCCAAAGAATTTCCTTATAACACTCATTTGTTATCAACAGATAATGATTTATAAAGTCTGCGACTGTTATATATACCATGCGCTCACATGTCTAGAAACAATTCCAGAATTACCCCTCCATCCACACATTCAACATGTTGGTGCACAAGCTGAGCCTGATCATTTGTAAGTCTTGCTTTACAACCAATTCATATTTATTC